TTGTTAAAGTGTTGTTCAGTTGGGGGGGGGGAGGGTTGTCAGGCGTGTCTGTGTCTCTATGGCGACAGGCGTGTTCTCTGAGTCTGCACATGCTCAGGACGTCTATTAATTAATTTAGTGCCTCTCAACATGTTTGTCCAAGTTAATATCTGAAGGCTTCTCGTGAAGACACAGACATTTCTGGTACTTCAGTTGTAATGGCAAAGCTTTTTTACTTCACAGAAACTAGGACTGCCGATATATAAAAACAATAAATAACTGAAATGAAAATATGTGGATTCTGTAATTCAAGAAGTTTCACAGGTTCACACTAAATTCCTGGATGAGGTTTATCTAAACAAGATAAAACCCAATGAAAGACAAAAACTAGAAAATGTTCTTATTGAAAATTCAATGAACTTTTCAGCTCTGGAAATCACAATTTAAAATTCATCATATCCAGATTTCCCAGGACTGTGAGAATGCTGGTTCTTCAGTGCAAATGTCAGTAGAGAGCGTATGAAAATAATAAATATAATGTCAGTTTACATCCTGATTTTGGTTTAAGAGTATCTCTCTCTCACTCGCTCAACCAGTCAAGCTGAATCAACATGATCCGCTAGCAACCGTTTGTGCAGCGGTCTGCTTATAAACCTGCGGTGAGGATGAGTCAGACACGCTTGTGAGCTGACAGGTGCAAACTAGTCTGACCAGTGGACTAGTATTAGTTTCGTCATGCTGAGAGTGGGCTACCAGCGGTATGTTTACACGCTCTGGCCAGCCGTGCAGGTACGGTGTTTTTGATCATTATGTCGTAGTTTCACACGTGTGATGCAGAATAAACTGGTTAAAGCTTCGTTTAGAGACCTCATGTTTTCTGTGAGCTGTTCTTAGTAACGGTCCAGGATGCACATGTTCAACTGAAGATCTCTTATCACTCTATGTGTGTGTTATTGGTCTGCTTGTGTTTGGTGCAGGTCAGTGGCGGTGGAGATCCTGTGTCAGAGGTCAAGACTGACCCTAAACCCGCCGCAGAGAACGGGCTGAACCACGACAGCATCTCGCCCAAATCCTCCGTGGTCAGTCACCAGACGTCATCCTCAGGTGCGTGACGCGTGTCCAGCGGCTGTAATGCTGTGTTCACGTGTAGAATCAGCACGGCATCATCTGTGTGTGTGTGTTTCAGGGTCGGTCAAACCTGCTGTGAAGTCTGAGGATGTGGTCCAGAGTGTTTTAACAGGTACGTGTCTGAGGTTCACATCCGTCTCTGGTGATCTGGGGCCCGTTCTTCGTACGTCGCTAACTCAGTTAGCTGGATTTGATTGTTGATGATTTGGCATGCAGATAACATGATCTTGACCCTTAAGAAGCTTTAAATAATGCTGTCACATAACAAACCTGCTTCAAAGATAAAATTAAATTTTTTTTGCTAATTTTGCTAATTACAACATTGAAATAAAAATTTAATGCTTGTACAAATACTAGAAATCGTGAATATAAATAATTGGGAATTGTGTAAAAAATAATGATAAAATAAAATAAAAACAGTACACATTTCATGTATCTATTATAAAATGTATGTAGTTTTGTTCGCTTGGCTGTTTCCTTATAAAGGTCCAGAAATGTGTCAAGTTTTTCATCAGGTGTCTTTTTTAATGATATGATGTCATTACGTTGCTGTCTTGCCGCAGCCAATCGCTGCACTGCTGATCGTGGATTCGAGTATCGATACACCTGCTCATTACGGGGAGCACGAGAACGCGCAGTAATCTCAGACAACTTAATCCAGATATTTTAATCAGATCTGCAAATTCGTTTGAAGAACCAAATTAGCCAGAGATCAGAAGATCTGGCATCTTTCAAATCATCTGAGATGTATTAAGCGAGGCACGAAGCTGAGACCGCTCGTGTTCGGATGATCGGATCACAGACACGGATGTTAATCCAGCTGGAAACGATGATGCGAGCGTCTCAAATACATCAGAAGAGCCCTTTTCATGTCAAGTCACATTTATTTCTGATGTGATTTATACAATACAGATTATTTCACAACACCTTCACAGAAATAAACGGTGTTAATGTTGCAAAATTCATCAGTTATGAAATAAATTCAGTTTCAACTGCAGAAGACAATAGTGCGATTATTCAGATCAATTCAGATCAGTAACTGTGTCAGTGTTGCAAAGTTCATCAATTATGAATCAAGTTAATTTCATATTAACTTGTATAATTATAAAGTTTTACTCCAGGATCTCATGATTACACTTATTCTGTATGTCTGTGTGTGTGTGTGTTTCTGTCTGTGTGTGTGTGTGCGTGTGTGTGTGTGTGTGTCTCTGTCTGTGTGTGTGTGTGCCTCTGTCTGTGTGTGTGTGTGCGTGTGTGTGTGTGTGTGTCTCTGTCTGTGTGTGTGTGTGCCTCTGTCTGTGTGTGTGTGTGCGTGTGTGTGTGTGTGTGTCTCTGTCTGTGTGTGTGTGTGCCTCTGTCTGTGTGTGTGTGTGCGTGTGTGTGTGTGTGTGTCTCTGTCTGTGTGTGTGT